CCCCCGCTCCCCCGTCCCTCTCCCCCTGGATCTGCCAATAATCATAGTCGGTAGAAAAGCTGCCAGCTGCATAGATGGAGGGCCTAGGCATTTAGTTTGCTTCATAAACAGTCCTCGAATGGAAAATGCATGGAATGCCTATCATTCAAACCCTCCCCTTTCCCCTCTCCCCCTCCCTTCTCCCCCCACCCCGTCCCCCTATAGAATTCTAACCTCTTGTAGAATATAAAATTTTGAAATTCCGATATTATTTGGAGGTGTTTTTTTTTGCAGCGACAAATGATAAAAATGTTTGAAGTATGGCAGAAATCCTACGAAACAACAATTGGAGCGTGCTCAAAAAATCCTGATCAGTGCTGTTCGTTCGCCGTCGGCCTGGCCAATAACATGTGCCAGTTTATACAACATAAAACAGTTGGGGTTTTTTTTGTCGTTACAAAAAGTGTTTTTGTAATCTTAGGATGCAAAATCCTTTTTATATTTTTATTTGTTAACTTTTAATAACTAAAAGAATTCTGGTTACTGTAAGGGCATTCTGTTGATTTTGTTCATGTCTTTGCATTCAAATTTTCCTACTTTTTCCAGATACATTTCAAAAACTTTACTTTTTTAAGCAAAATAATGAAAAAAAGAATAAATTGATAGCAAAAAAAGCAAGATTCTTCGTATTTTTAGATGGATTGCCGACTGCTTTTCATGTATTCTCAAGGTGTTCGCATTGCAATTGAGTCGTTCGACTACACTGTGCTGGGCGACATTTTTCCAGGAGGTTAAATTTTATCGAATTTTAAGTCAATCCTCAAAGAAAAATGCTTTAATTTATGAGTTTTTTTGAAAAAGTTGATCGCTTGGTGTAGTGGCATGTAGCTTTGCGCGGGAGTGAAGTTGAGAAATCGACCCTGATGCAGGACAGTGAAATCCTTCTAGGATTCATTGGGTTTTTTCGATGGTAAATTGTTACTGGCATATTTCTGGGAATCAAAACTCGTGGTATTTCCGAAATCTCCTCTAATAGAGAGTGGTTAAAATGCTTCATCACTTGGTGGTCAACGTTCTGGCGATTTCCATCTCCTGAAAGTATCATCACGGGCTTAATGATGCTCTCCCGACAGAAGCATTTTGGAAACATTCGAAATTTAGTGAGTGCTTTGAGCGTCACCATCTCATCTTCAAGTGAAAAGTTGCCGCTCCCGGACCACATTTTATCGAATTTTAAGTCAGTCCTGAAAGAAAAACCTTATTGTCTGAGTATAAATAAATAGTCTCATATATTTTTATAATTTTTCGATTTTTCTCAATTGCTAGAATCGTCGACATGAAGCTGTCATACATAGCAGATGTAACCATTTATCGGGACAAGAAGTGAAATAATTGAACTAAATTCC